CTAATTTATCTAATATACTGTCAATTTGGGCTAGAATTTAAGTAAAGTAGACTTCAATGAAATTATACAAAGAGCATATTTTAATGGATTAGACAGCCTCAGGATTTGCACTTGTAATACTGTTTCATTTTGAAATTGTGGAGGATTATTATGGAAATTGGTATCATGATGATGATAGAACTCTGGCCACACCAGCTATAAGAAATGTTTTATTTCTGTACAGCCGTTGTTCCCCTTGGTTCCCCAAACATGTCACCAGTGTCATTGTTCCCACATCCTTTCAAGGCAGGAGGTTTAAGGTGCTCGCCAGATCACACACAACAAACCCCTGAGGCCCTGCATCCCATTCCCGTCATTTTTCATTCTCACAAAAGATGGAAAAGCTCACTGCTTCTCTTCCTCCAATTCCCAAACCAACGGCTTAGGTAAAGACTTGAGGTTTTTTTTTTCTTCTTGTTTTTTTTTTCTGTCTTTTTAGAATTAGTGACAGCCAAAACCTGTTTGGCTCAGTGGATAGAGCATCAGTCTGCAGTCTGAAAGGTCCCGGGTTCGATTCCGGTCAAGGGCATGTACCTTGGTTTCGGGCACATCCCCAGTAGGGGGTGTGCAAGAGGCAGCTGATCAATGACTCTCTCTCATCGATGTTTCTAACTCTCTCTCTCTCTCACTTCCTCTCTGTAAAAAATCAATGAAATATATTTAAAAAAAAAGAAAAAAAGAATTAGTGACAAATTTGTGACAGAAGGGAGGTGCTGGGTTATTTGCACAGATTTGTTCTCATTCTTACCCATACAAGCTTGGAAGGCCCCCAAACTCCACATCCTCCCCACAGCCAGTGGCCTGCTTGCCACTTCTGAGGGCCTATCAAACCATGACGCCTCCTTCCATCACCCGTGGGAGTGGAGTCCTTGAGGTGCCACGGGGAAAATAATCTCCTGACACCTCCCCAGGAGGACTGGGTTTCGTGGAAAAGGTTATCAATGATGTAAAATTAAGGGGGTTCCCCTTCAAGGTGCCATCTCCGTCTGTCCTGCTGTGTAGTCAGCAGAGCCAGAATGAAGGCCACTGCCCAGAATTTCTACTCCATCTTACAGTCCAGTCCAGTCCAGCATCTGGCTAGGTTAGCTTGTGTTCCCAGCTTTAGTCCACTGCGTGTGGGGTCCGCATAGTCAGAGCTATGTGGCTGGTTAAGGCCATGTGGTGGGCAAGTGAAGGTCATGGAGCAAGAGAAAGGAAGGGGGAACCAGAAGGCAAGAGAGGAGGAACTCTTGGGGATTATCACCCTCCTAGCCAGTGGGATCTTTCCTCCGGGCTAAACTGACTCCATCACCCAGACTTCACTGTGCGTGCCCCATCTCCCCCTGTTTGATCCCTGATTCCTTCCCTGAGCTGCAGGGAATGAACTGGTGGTTCCCCAGGAGCTGGTGAAACTGTAGCTTCTTGGTGAAGCTGCCCGGATGACCATGCTTACAACGCCTGGCCCCCCCTTTCCTCTCTTCCCATTATTAATATTAATAACTAGGCAATAACTTCCTTACCTCTGTGCTTGCTCACCTAGTCACCATCCTTCCTTAGGAGATGAAAGTGTCTATCAAAGCAAGAGAAACAAATCATCAGTGGCTATTTCTTCCCCTTCTCTCTCGGTTGAGTATTGTGTCGGCACCTTGTGCATACACCCACTTTAATTATGAAAGTATCTGCCTTGCAAGGCAGTTCTTTGCTTTTTGAAGACTTTAGGGGGAAATTATTGTAAAGTTAACTTGGTGATTAGGAAGCAAGGCGAGCATAAAGTATCTTGTATAAGCTCAGCTGCCTTTTCTTGCGAAATGAAGACTTCATATTCATTTCCAGAATGCCATGAACAGCTCAGTTGGGCCATTCCCACTGGCCCTCTGTCCTCTTTACACGTTATAAGCCACTTGGGGTATTTGCCTCATAGAACAATCAGGCCCCACCCTGGCGATAAATAACTAATGGAGGTGTTTCCTAGGAGGAAGGCAGCTTCAGTCTTTCTCAGAGCATCCGCGTTTAAAACAGGTGTGAGTGCTACTGAGGCCCCAAACCAACCCAGACAAGGTGGACTTTTACAAAACTCGGCTGGAAATCATTTTCTTTTACGACAGTGTTTTCTGTGTGAGGCAGGGGCAGGAGAAGAGGAAATTAAATCAGGGATAATAACACATAGCTGTAACGTTGTAATGACTTTATTTATTTATTTATTTATTTATTTATTTATTTATTTATTTGGAAAAGCAGGCTGTCTAGTGTTGAAATAAAGTTTTCACATAAAAATATCCACAAATAAGAACATTACAGCCCTGCACAATTCAACAGTTTGATTCAGTAAATGTTTATGGAATTTCCGAGGGCAGAGCTACTTGAGATCCAGGAAAACCCACAGCATCCAGGCATTTCTTTTTTTAGAAAAAAAAAAAAAAAAAAAAAATATATATATATATATATATATATATTTTTTTTTTTTAATTGATTTTTAGAGAGGAAGGGAGAGGAAGGGAGAGATAGAAAACATCAGTAATGGGAGAGAATCATTGATCGGCTGCCTCCTGCACACCCCCTAATGGGGATCAAGCTCACAACCCAGGCATGTGCCCTTGACCGAGGACATTCTATCCATTGAGCCCAAGCATGTGCCCTCAAACCCTGGACGCTCTATCCATTGAGCCAAACCAGCCAGGGCATATTTAAGGCTTAAAGATATACACTCCCAAGACCTACTGTAGGCCTACTGAAACAGAATCTTCCAGGGTGAGGCCGGGCTTCTGCTCTGTAAGGAGACTTTCTGGGTGACTCTTAAGCACATAAAGTTTAAACCACCAAATATTGTCTGTTTTACTCATTGTTGTACCAGGTGCCTAGAATAGCAATTGACACAGCTCAATAAATAGCTAATGAATGAATGAAGGTCCCAAGTGTCTGAGGCTACAGTTATGGATATCTTCCACACCATCTAATCCAACTGAAGTCATAAAACAAGTGTCATGTGAGGGAGACACCAAAGTTTTGCACCCCAAAATGTGCTTTTTGGGATATTGACTTTTAAACTGGTTATTAAGGAACAAATGACTCAGAACCTTTGACCCTTAACAGCTCGGCTCGTAAAAACCTGCTTAAAGGAAGGGAACATCACTGAGCATCCCCATACTAAAGAAATCTAGCAAAGCTTGTTAGCTGTCCTTGCCACTGTGTCCCATTGTTTCTGGGTGGTCCAGCAGAAATTTGTTTACATGTTTGCTCTTCCCCATCTACCTGCAAATTACCTGCTTTCCATCTGAAATCCTAGGCCCCTGCCTCCTTCTCCTTGGTCCGAAATGGCACCCCCAGTCCCCTTCTTATGGCACCCCCCAACGTACATTCGTAGGCATTGTCTCCTGTTAATGTTAACCTGTTTCATGTTAATTTGGTTATAAGTCTTGCAGAGTTTAGAAGGGGAGAGGAAAATTATTTTCTTCGCAAATATGTCATATCCCCCAAGGGACCTTTCTACCTAGACTGGGGGGCAGGGGAAGCTCTCTTATCTCTGCCCTACAGCCTCAGCAAACTGTCCCCACCTCAACAGACCTCTCCCTGCCTGCAATTAACTGTAAAAGCTGTGAGACTAGCCTCACCACTTTGCATCCTTAATACTTTAAAAAAAAAAAAAAAAAGGATTAATAAAGTGAATTAAGGAAAAAATAGGACCTTAGATCCAGCATGTAAATACCACCACCCAAAACTGAAGCTTGGCAAACTTCTATAAGCCATATTTCACTTCATAATCATTCAAACCACAGGAAAGAGAGGACAAGTAAAATGCAGTCTTGCTTTTGAATATACTATGCTAAGTTTATAATTTACAATTTATTAAGAACCCATTGTATCCTTAACAGGTAAGATGTTTAAAAAACTGGTAAATTTATACAATGGAACAATGGAATGCTACTCCGTAATAAAAAACAAAGAAAAACTACTGATACACAAAACATGAATCTCAAATGCATTATGCTAATGGGGAAGTATGTAACCTCAGAAGATTCCACATACTGTGGGATCCTCTTCTGACATCCAGGAAAAGGCAAAACTAAAGGAAGGGAGTATGAATCAGTGGTTGTTTAATCAGGATTAGGAATGGGGGACAAGTTTTACTCCAAAGGTGTAGCACCAGGGAATTTTTGGGGTGATGGAACAATTCTGTATCCTGGTTGAGGTGGTAACTGCATGAACTTATGCATGTGTTAAAACTCACAGAACTGTAAGCCATCCCAAATAGTGAATTTACTGAATATAAATTATATTTAAAAAGAATCCGCCCAGCCGAAACCAGTTTGGCTCAGTGGATAGAGTGTCGGCCTGCGGACTGAAAGGTTCCAGGTTTGATTCCGGTCAAGGACATGTACCTTGGTTGAAGGCACATCCCCAGTAGGGGGTGTGCAAGAGGCAGCTGATCAATGATTCTCTCTCATCGATGTTTCTAACTCTCTATCCTTCTCTCTTCCTCTCTGTAAAAAATCAATAAAACATATTTTAAAAAAATAAATAAAAAGAATCCGCCCAGCCAGATGGCTCAGTGGTTGGGCTTTGACCTCAGTGGTTGAGCTTCGACCTATCAGCCAGAAGGTTATGGTTCGATTCCCAGTCAGGGCATATGCCTGGGTTATGGGCTCAATCCCCAGTAGGGGATGGGCAGGAGGTGGCCAATTGACGATTCTCTCTCCTCATGATGTTTCCATCTCTCTCTCTCTCTCCCTTCCTTTCTGAAATCAATAAAAAATGCATACTTTTAAAAAAATAATCCATTGCATACACAACATAAACACATTAGGTCTCTGAGGGCCCTGGGACAATTTCCTTCCTTGATCAATCCGTTTGTCAACGTGGGACATACAGAACCACATGGTCTTGGGAGTGTGAGTGCGAAACTGAGCCAACACTGCTATTCACATGTATGGTCCGTGTATCACAACTGGAGCCAAATTTAGCATGCGATCAACTGGAAGCCACTCTGTAGAAAAGTCCTTTATTATAGTGCAAATAACTTTCAGCAGTGACATAATAATGTAAGAACACATTTAGCACGTTTTACACCACGCAGTAAATAAGAAAGTGTTTCTTCGAAAATAGTTCATCAGAGGAACATTATTTCATTAATGCCAGAAAACGCCAAGGCTGTTTCCCTCTCTCTTTTTTTTTTTTTTTTGGATACTTTCTTTTTAATACAAATGAAAGGATTTGCCACTTTCACCAATCACCATCAATTCTAAGAGTGATTTTCGAATTGAGGTTGGCAAGATTTAAAATGGGGTTTCAAGTAAGAAGAATCTTAAGACAATGTTGGGTTAGCCCAGGAAGTACAAATCATTTCTATTCACTTTTAAGTATATACAAACATTCACTCCCAATTGTGATGCAGAAATGGACCGATTGTCTAAAGCCCGCCTTTATTCCCCCAGAGCCTGATTGTTAATTCCACTCCTCGCTTTTGGTCACATTGCAGCATGAGGACTCTGGTCAGAAATAACTCCTCACATACCCGGTGCTTTCGTGTGAAGCCTTAAATTGCACTTTCCATACTGAATTCCCACCTTGGGCCTCACAAGGCCATGAGAGGACGTGAACATTGTTTCCAGTTTACAGCTGGAGTAGGCCCCTGACTAATATACCTACAGCTGAATCAGACGATCACATTCTTTAGATTAATCCCAATAGGTTTAACCAAAGCCTCGTAGAGAAACGAAAGATTAACAGCCTATCTACATTAAACTGCCCAAGGGCTTGGCTAACCAGTTAGCCGATGGGTAGTCAATTCCAATCCGTTACACTTCCAACTCCTCTGGTTTCTGCTGAATGATGCAGTGGGTGGGAATGGATGGCCACTCAAAGGAAACATCCTGTGGGTTCTTCCACCATGAGGAGAATAAAAAACCCAACACATACACTTCAGAGCCATGAGACATGAACCACAGGCTTGAAAATACCTGGAGCCACGGACAGCCCCGCTAGGCTGAGTGAGTCAGCTGGTCCATAAAGCTTTTCCATGCTCAACCAGGCTTGTTGAGTAAAGGATCGTCTTCTATAACACAATGGAACCAAGCTAAACAGTGTCAAAGGTTAGAATAATCCTAATACATTGCCTATAAAAAATGTCACGATTTTAGTTTTCTTTTTCTTAGACTTTGGTACTGAAACACTGTCTACATTCTGGACACGTGAAAATGACATGGCCACTTCCGTGCCTCTGCATGTTGTGTAAAAACAAAACAGAACTCAAAAGCAAAGCAGGACAAGGACGTGTCGTAACAAGACATGGTATGCTGTACAAACAAAACCTAAATGATATATAAATACACCTACCCCAGCACCCCGTTCCCCCCACCCCGTTCTACCTGACCAAGCAATGCCAAAGGTCCTTCTCTCGAGGACCAATGGGGTTTGGGAAATTCAGCACCCAGGACGCCAACCATCCCTTGCCTCTCGATGACATGGAAGGCAGTGCAGGCTCCTCTGGGAGAGGCACTGCTATTTGATCAGCTCCATAAGTGCAGGGAAACTCCTACAGCCTAATCCCGAGCATTCGACCTATTGGTTGGCTCAAAGACCCGGGAGTTCTGGGAGTTAACCTTTCAGATAAGCTAATTGGATCACTTCCTAATCTGGATCCTGTCTTATCTTGTATCTCAGCAGAGCCAACCAAGTAGGAAGCATCCTCTCTTCTCTGCAGCTGCAAAGAAGGCATTGCTTGGGGATACTGGTGAGGGTCACCTATTAAAAGTGATGCAATGAGCTAATAGCTTAGGTTGATATAAATTATTTGCAAGTACGTTATTTGGGGTCAGGGGCTCCTGCGTTACATTGCATTCCAGAATCATTTTCATATTGTACTCTTAAAAGTTTATATAATAGTCACTTAAAAATTGTCTATGGAATCCCCTCTTATATGTTGTCATTTAGGTTAATAGCAACTTAAGGAGCCATTATGTAAATCTAGGAAAAAGTAGCTAGTCAGTCTTAAGGAAGCCAATACTGTGCTAATTCACAGTAAGGAGAAAAAAAGCAATGTAAATAGAATTTTACATTAGTTGTCAATAACTCCAAAACCAGTTTTACCAAAATGTTGCGGTCTTTCTAAAAGCACTTACAGCAATTTATATCAAGAGATCCTAAAGATAGGGGTCTGGAGGATATGACTCAATTGTTTAAGGTAGAAATTCACCCATTACATGATGGTAATATGTATCTTTCCCCCCTCAGACCTAAGATATTTGTACATTCAAAAATTCCTAACTTGTTGTTCTTGAGATAGTAATCATTTTCTAATACATATGTTGAGCATAAATAAATATGAGAAAGCTTTAAAAATATGAATTAACATTATCCTGTGCAAAACAAAAAACTCCAAAACAAACAAAACAAAAAAACCACCACACAAACCTTGAACAACCTACATTCTATGTTAATACCCTGACTAAAATGTTGGTTGTGCTACACAATTCCACTTCAGTGCAGAAACGAGTTGATTTCGGTGTACCGTCTTTATTGTTGTTATTTTTATGTCTTTAGCACTTTTTTGTTTCTAAACATCACCTTGCTTCGAAAAAGATGAATAGCTTGCTACCGAATGACAAATGATCACAAATCCAGTTCCGTTTCGTCGGAATAAAATCCAGCATAAATGTATTACTCTTTTCTGAGAATGACGGCTCGGTGTCTTTGTTCCGACAGCTTCCGAAGGGCGAGCCTTGGTCGAAGTCGTCATGTTGGGTTGAAACTGCAAAGAAGAGACAGTGAAGCTTTGCCTTTTGTTTTCGTTTTCTTTTTGAAGTCTCCAGATGTTGTTCAGACCAGCAGTCATATCGTCGCGGCATCTGATCCGATGTGACACGGAGGTGGTTCAAACAACATCAGCCAAGCTTTGTGATCTGGAGGTCCCCGTTTATCTTTATGGTGTCAATGGCAGATAACGTTTGCACGCGGTGGTAAAAATCAAAAAGTTGATGTCCGTCCACAAACACTCTGAAACGAGGGTGCTCGCAGAGAATTTCCACCTGGAAGAGACAAAACAACAAATCTCAGCTCACAGTGTCAGGGAACCCTGCTAGGGAAGACAGACAAACCATCTTTCACTTTAGAGCAGTGTTTCCCAAACGTTTGCCATATGTGTACCCCTTCTATAATTTTTGTAATGCTGAGTACCCCTCGTAGTCATGAGAACGTAGAATTAGGCGCAGCTAAGCACGGTGCAGTGCATATCCCCACCAAACTCCGGTGCAATGCGTACCCCCACCAAACTCTTCCCGTGCCCCTGGGGGTCCGTGTACCACACTTTGGGAAACACTGCTTTAGAGAAAGAAAGGCAACATCTTCAGGGGTTCTCACATGTTGGGATGCACTGGAATAACACAGAACGTTTGGTGGGACACAGATTGCTGGGCCCCACCTCCAAAATTTTCATTTTAGTAGGTCTAATGTGAGATCTAAAACATCTACATTTTCACCGCATTGCTGCTTTTGCTGGAAGGAGGAACACACTTTACTGCTCTACACTCTTTAATATCCTTTAAAGACTTAAAGTTGCTCAGGCTTTAACACTCCAGAGAGCACAGCTTTATTGATGTGGCACTTACTGCCTCCCCTGTCATCCCCCTGAACAATCCATCCCACCTTCAAAGGAGCCTCTCTCCTGAGGCAGAACTGGCACGCATTCGCAGCCTGTAATGCTAGTCTAGACACTCAAGCCCGGCAAACTCTAAAGTGAAGAGGTTACAGCGTAATTACCACTGGACCAAGGATGTATCATTAACAGGGCTTTGTTAAGGCAAACAGAAATACTGATTCCATAGGGTAAAGAGGTTTTTCTTCCTCCTTTTCCTTCAGTAATTCACCACGGAGCTTAATCATCGGTTCTATGCTATGTATTTATTAAAAGCATTGGCATCCACCGTGTAAGGAGAGACTCCATAGGCGATATTAGTCACGTTTAATGCATATTATTAACCAAAATTATATCACCAAGGAGGGCCGACTTCATTTCAATTTTGTTGTTGGGAAGCATTCTATTCCTCTTGGCAGTCAGAAGCCCTGGTTACTCACACTCCTGAGCTACGCATTTAAGATTCATAATTAAGAAACTGTCACCATGAAGAGTAGCCGAAGGGGTCATTACCGTCCTAGAGAAAGGGAAGGGCAGGGATAATGGGCGGGGCTGCCTCGCCCAGGCTATGATTAGAAGGGCAACAATCTCAATTCTTCCACTGGCATGAAAACTCATGGATTCTTATGTCTCCCCCCTCCCGCCCCCCAGAACATAATTACTTCTCCCTAAGGCCCTTATCCATCTCTAGATGAAGAGCAAAGGCAGGGAGCTCTGCTTTGTTACCAGTATATGCAGCCTAGAGCTGTCAGCGGAGCTGTCATTATTGTGACATTTTTGTTAACAAGGTATCATGTGGACAACTTCGTCACCAGGCCTCACATGTCAGCAAGTCCTCTCTTAACACATTACTGACTTGCATCTCTTACAGCGTGGTCCTTCACAGAGGAAGGTGCTGCTAATGCATCTTAATTGGAGGGGGAGTGTGGGCGGAGCTTCCCGCCTGCTAGAGAGTGAGGAGCAAATCTATACTCATCCAGGTCCAAGGGAAACGTTTGTCAGCCACACAGCCTGTGACTGAGGCTACTTAACCCATCGGGGGGAAACAGAGACCTAGCCAGGCCTTGAAATACCAACCACTATATTCTTTAAAGAGGTATCACTAATAAGATTTAGCGCTTCTTCAAGGTTGAGGAAAAAAATGAGGAAAACTCGTCTTTATTCATCCATCAACTATTTTTGAGACAGGCATCTATGCTATGCTTAATACCAGGTTAAGCGCTAGTTAGAAAAGCATTCTTAACCATCAGGACACATCCATATGGATTTCCTTACTCAATGTATTAGCTCAGAGCTACCATGGCGAGCATTAATTCAAATCAGCAAACAGTCCTTTTGATCTTTTTTCACCATCGGGTGACAAATTTCCTGGACATGCAGAAATTCTGGCTGCTTCAAGGGTTCCTGGCAGCACTAGAGGAGAGCATCCTCACCCTGCCAGAGGCTGGAGCGGATGCCCTCGAGGCACTCACCCTGAAAGGCTGGTCCGGGATGAATGGAAAGTAAGGGATAGCTGATTGTTCTTCACCCCTTTCGCCAGATATACAGGAGTTTCTGAGGAGCTGCCGGTCTGTGAACACAGCTCTGAGTTCGATCGCCACATCAGCTGGAGGATCTTCTGAGTCACCACACGTCAAGCTGATGGCAAAACTGGTAAGAAAATCGTCTCATTTATTCAAGATTGGACATAACAACATTTAACAACAACGCGGGCTCCCCTATTTTCTCCTTCTCGGGATGTGTCTGCTTTTCCTGGGACACAACTCTTTACCCAGGTTAGGCCAGGTATGGAGAAGTAGGATTATAACCAAACCAGGTATCTTGTTACCTAAAGGAGGCTCTGGTGGAGTTGAACATGACTGACATTGGGGATTTCAGATACCCCAAACCATTCACACATCTTCTATCTTAATCCATTTCAGAATTCTCAAAAACTGATCAGGGGAAATAATAATCTTGTACATTTGGTTCTCACTTATATTGATAGTTCTCACTCCAAGGACCATGTTTAAAAACCGTAATTATAATAATAATAAAAAAGAAACAAAAAAAACCAAGTCCTTTGGCCTCCCTAAGGGTCAAAAGAAAAAAAATGATGCGGGCCTATATTTATAATCTCTAGATATAAATAGCTGTCTGGAGAAATGATGGCTGGGATTCATACACATTCTTTTCATGGGAACATGGTACTTTCTTGGCACTTCCAACTAGCAAACACTGGCCACAGGGAGAGGAAGAGGAGGAGCAGTGCCTAGGAGTGGGCAGGGCCTTGTAACCGCCTGATGATAGCTCTGCCTTACCTCTCAGGGTTGAGGTCAACGATGCCCATCACTAACACCTTCTTGCCCGGCCTCATGCCACCTTTGATATGCCCACAGAATGGAACTATCTGCAAGGGGAAACAGGAAGTTTACAGCCTGTCAGGCGAGAGCCAAGCCCTCAGGTCCTGAGGACCTGACCCATTAGAAAATGCAATTAGAAAGGAAGCGGGTACAAGCAGAGACACAGAGCACAGAAAAAAGGAAAAAAACAAAACCATTTACCAGTCGTGGGAAGTACACCTCGGCTTGAACCGGAGAGCCCAAGGAGTTGTTTAAATGTCCATCATCTAGTTTCTAAAAATAGAAGCACACAGATTGGCTTTTTACAGGCCAGTTTTGGGGTGGGGGTGGGAGTTCGGGAAGACCTACACAAATCTGGTGGAATCCAGCAGCCCTCAGGGAACACAGGCAGCGCCTGCAGCAGAGGCTGCCGCCTCACCGTCCCTGGAATAACCGCACAAACCCTCGGATCCAAACCGTCCTTCCCACCTGGTTAGCTAAGTCTCTAACGATCCCCAGGCCCTTCAGATCTAGATCAAAATCAAGGTCGCTGCACACCGGGAAGCCGGAGCCCAGCCCGGAGGGGGAGGAGGGTAGTAGGCCCCTCTCTCTAACCGCGAACGCATCTGGACGCGCGGTCTCAGGCCTGTCCTCCGGGGGGACGTGGCTGGAGCGCAGCAGCCGCGCTCCACTTCTCCCAGGAGCCGCAGGCGCCGACCCGTTTCCAAAGGGGGAATCCCCGACCAGGGGTGGGGGTGCGGACACGGGGGTGCGCGCGCCCCGACACCCTCACGCACGCGCACCCTCCCATGTGCAACGTGCACACACACACACACCTGGCCGGGGGCTGCACGGCACGGAGGGGGAGGGGAGCTGTCGGTGACCCCCATCCTCCCTAAATAACCTCCCGGGGGCCAGCAGCCCCCCCCCCCAGCCCGGGGCACCCCTCCTGGCGCCCCCCACGCCGGGCGCGCACAGCGGCTGCTGCTAACAGGTCCCGGGCACCTTCGCGCGCGGGGGGCGCCGGGCTGGGCCTCGGCGGGAGCAGGGGCGCGGGCGTGGAAGAGGGGGCCGACCGCGGGAAGGGGGGCGCCTCGCGTGCACCCCCCGCCACACTCACCACCACGGCATCGCTGTCGGCCACCGATCCCGCCATCTTCCTGCGGAGCGCGGCTGGAGGCCGGCGGCGGCGGGGCCGTGGGACGCGGCGGCGCGCGGGCGGGGATCCCGGGGCGGTCCTGCGCCGGGCGGGGGCGCGGGTCCGAGGCTGGCCGGGGCGCGCGCACACCCAGGCGGGCACGCGCGCGCGCGCACGCCGGGGAGCCCCGCGCCGACCCGGGAGGGGGGAGGGCAGGCCCGGGAGCGGGGGGAGGGCAGGCAGAGGCGGCGCCGGCCCGGGGGGGTCGGAGGTGGCGGGTCACCGGCCGCGCCGCCTTCCTCGGCCTCCGGGCGCTGCGGTGTCTGCGCGAAGGTGAACGGTGCCAGGAGCCGCGGCGCCGGCCCGGGCGGCATTTAAAGGCCGCCGCCGCCGGGGTCCGGCTCCGGGACCGGGAACGGGGCGGGGACCCGGCGCGGCTGCCACGGCTTGCTCAGCGGGCCCTGCCCCTCGGCCATTGGACGGCGGCGGGAGGCCGGGGCGGGCGGGGCGGGCCTGTGCGGGTCAGGGCGCGCGGAGGGCCGGACCGGGCGGCCCCCTCTCCTCCCTCTCGGGCCGTGAGGGTGGGTGGGGCTGGGGGTGAGGATGGGGAAGGGAGGGGGCTTGCCAGGGGACAGGTGCTTGTGACATATCCCCGCCCCGCCCTCCCCGCCAGCCAACCCCCTGCTTTCTCTCGGCCGCGTCCTGGGGCAGGTGGGACAGGGGAGGCCAGGTCAAGGGAAGACTGGGTTTGGGGGGATTATTCCAGAGCTGGAGATTTCTTTCAGAGAATTCCAAAACAAACAAACAAAAACAAACAATCAAACACTGGGAGGAAAGAGCCATTGGGCTCTCTGGGGTGGAAAGAGAAGGAAAGGTCTCCAGGCTTGCCTTAAGGAAATAGTGGGCCCCAAGCCAGAGGCAGGAGGATTCTCAGGAGGCACTTTATATCCCAGGAGATTAGCTACATCGCAGGCCTCTGTCCTGTGGAAGCATGGGATCCTGAAGGCTCTTTCAGGCAGGGGTCTGGCTAAGTCTGACCAAGGTGAACTGGAGTGCCTGTCCTCAAGGAGCCTCCACTGGGTCCTGTTTTTTTAATTTAATTTTTATATTATTTTTTTAAATTTTTTTATGAGACACCTGCCCAGTCTAGCAGGGTAGTAACATTCGCCACTGAAAATCTTTGTAGGAGTCATTTCCCCGGGGCTGCACCCCTCTTTATTCTAAGGCACAAATTCCTTTATGGCATTTCTACATGAGGATGATTATGTAACGTCTCAGATAAAGCTGAATCAACATACCTAGTCTATTAGGTGACATCTTGGCTTAAACATTCCATTGTGTGAGTCATCAGGGTGTTTACACTAATTAGTAGGGAGCATGTGTGTGACCTCCTGCAATCCCAGAGGGGCCCTCCCTGCTGCTGGCCCTGTGGCCCTGGAACATCACTGGGGCTTTTGTGTCTGAGCTTTCCCTTTAGGGACCAGAGCTAATGGCGGTCATCTCAGCCCGGTAGGAAAAAATCACCTGCACACGCCCGTAAGCCACAGTCCTGTGTGTGTTCTCCGAGTTAGACGCTGAAGTGCTGCACAGTTGTGGCTTACATGTTTGCCAACCTTAGCTTCCAAATCATGCTTTATTGATTCCTTTAAAACAGTAGGCAGTGGTAGAAAACTTATTGACATTTTGAAAGTGTATCCAGTATAATCCCAATTTCTGAGAGCCTGGTTTCATTGAAGCTGTCCTTAGCTGAGCTAAGAGTGATAGACTACATCTTGGTGGCTAGAGAGTGCCCAGGTTCAAATCCTGGCTCTGCCAGTGACTAGCTGGGTGATTCTGGACAAGTTACTCAACGTCCCCCATGACTCTGTTTCTTCATCTGTGAATCAGAGATGACCGCAATGGTGATGAGGATAGTGCCTACCTCGCTTATTGGGGAGATTAAGTAAATTGGTTCCTGTATCTTCCTTACAGTGGTACCTGACACATAGTAAGCACTTGCTCCAAAAAATATTGAGTGCCTGCCACGGGCCAGGCACTGCGGGTCCAGCAGGGACTTCTTTGTGAAATTTACATTCTGGTGGGAAAGCCAGTCAATACATAAATATATAAGACATCAGCTGGTAAACTGTAGAGGGCCGCCTGAGAAGGCATATGGACATCCTTTAAATTGTCAGCTGAGACCTAGGGCTGAGGGTGTATTCAGTTTCTGACTTACCTTTGCCCAGGTGTCAGCAGGGGCGGGTCTAGATATGCAAATCCAGTAATGCTAGAGCCTAGTTAAGATTGCAAATAAGCTCCTTTGACCCTATAAATAAACCTGCTGTGCAGCTCGGTCGCTTGCTGCCTCTCTATCAGAGAGATGGCGCCCACCTAGCGCCCAGCTTGGTGAATCTATTTCTGCCTCTTGTCTCTTTCTTTCTTAATCCCCAGCTCCTCCACTCAGAACCTGTCGTTTTCCTTGATGGACACGGAAAACAGAGAAATAGTCCCCCACAGTATGCATTTAGAAAAAATAGTAAAGCAAGCCGAAACCGGTTTGGCTCAGTGGATAGAGCATCAGCCTGCGTTCTGAAAAGTCCCAGGTTCGTTTCCAGTCAAGGGCATGTATCTTGGTTGCGGGCATATCCCCAGTAGGGGGTGTGCAAGTGGCAGCTGATTGATGATTCTCTCTCATCAATGTTTCTGACTCTATCCCTCTCTCTTCCTCTCTGTGAAAAATCAATAAAATATATATTTTTAAAAATAGTAAAGCAAGTAAGGTAGGGAGAGAGATAGGAGGTGAGACAGGGTGGTTAGGGAGGCCACCTTTGGAAAAGTTTGAGGAGATTCCTGATGGTAGGGAGGGAGTCATTTGGATGTCTGGAAGAAGAAGTTGCTGGCTTAGGGAAATACCAGGGCAAAGTCCCCCGGGTGATGTACAATATATGGGTGCAGCTGGGGTTCAGCGACTGAAGAGATAAGTAAGTAGAAGTGGGCTAGGCCGTGTAGACCCTGTGAAGATGGCTGTTACTCAGGAGAGCGGGGGAGGCATTGGAGGCTTCTCAGCAAAGGAGAGACATCGTTTGCTGTCTGTCGTAGATGCATCCCTCTCGGCTGTTATGTGGATGGACTGGTCTTTGTGGGGAGGGTGGCATGTGGGAGGCAGGGCAGAAGCAGGCCTTAGATTCTAAGGCTTAGAAGGCTCCCGCATCAGCCCAGGTGAGACACACTGCCGGCTTTGACACGGGAAGTGGTGAAGATGTGCGAAGCCGTGGGCCCTCGGTAAGTCCCAGCTGTTGTTATTAGGTAGCATTGAGAGTTCATATCAACTTCTAAGCCTCCGTTTCCTCACCACAGAATTAAGGAGTAGGGCTCACTCATTACGCCTTCTTGGCTCTTACAAAATTCTGGTTTCTGGAATGTTGTGTAAGTAGCACCTACATTTAAATGGGCGGCAGTGGGTGCTGCTGAGTGAAAATAATCCGGGGTTCAATCTTTTGATAAATGGTTTTGGGGGGTGAAGAATAACCCTCTTATTTCTTTGAGGGTTATAGATATTGCCAATAGAGTTGCTAATAGATATTTGGATGGCTTCAGATGAGTTTCTTACATTTTGGGGATGCAAAGGATAGGAAAGGGCTGAACCTGCCCCGAATGGGAACGTGTTTACATGGAAAATTGCCTTTTATTCCCAAAGTGCTTCATCCCTTCTCAGTCTATAGAATGGTTCATCTTGAATATGGAGAGCGGAAAGGAAGCTCTCATGAATATTTTGTTATAATTACAGCTGAACAGAATCAAACTACCCCTTTACAGGGTAAAGTCATTAGCAGACTAATGAGTTATAGAGCTTAAAAAAACGTTTTTATTTTTAGTTGTATAACGAAGGCTAGACAGACTTTGTGCTTCGATTATAAGCATTTGTCTCTAAAAAGCATTCACCGAAAAAAATAAAAAATAAAAAGCATTCACTGAGATTGACTTTTTAATGAAATGGACTGCATTACTACTGGAAACTGCTAAAAAGGCTAAAGAAGCAGGAGGGGCGGAAATGCAGTCAAATAGATGAGGTTAGCACTAAAAAGAAGGCATGAACAGGTTTTTCAAGATAGACTGCCAAATGACCTTCCTCCCAGATGAAAAGAGGAGATCACTTCCTTTTTCCTTCCTATTTGATATGTTTTATTCAAATGTGTACATACAGAATGTCTTACATTGGGAGGAGATACAGCACCGACGTCAATGCAACAGCCATTCTGTGTATTGCTACGTGCTATAATACCATGGACTAAAACGGTATTTGGGGTACACGATGTTGTCCTGGAGGAACTTACAACTCACTCTGGGGACCACGGCAGGATGTGGTGGTGGGTAAGATAATAAAGGTAGGATCGGGCCTAAATAGGCAGTCGGACATCCCTCTCACAATCCAGGACTGCTGGTTTCCAACTGCTTACCTGCTTGCCTTCCTGATTGCCCCTAACTGCTTTTGTCTGGCAGCCTAATCACCCCCTAACCACACCCCTGACAGCCTAATTGATGCTTAACTGCCCTCCCCTGCAGCCCTGGTCACCCCTAACTGCCCTCCCCTGCAAGCCTGGTCCCCCCCACCCCCCAACTTCCCTCCCCTGCTGGCCATCTTGTCATGGCCATCTGTGTCTACAAGGGGGCAGCCATCTTTGTCCACGTGGGGGCAGCCATCTTTGTGTGTTGGAGTGACGATCAATTTGCATATTACTCTTTTATTAGACAGGATGACCTTCATCTATTAGTATTTTAATCTAGAGTAGAAACTTGCACATCAGAAACACCTTCCTTTTTATTTGGCTCCTCCTTGTTTCCTGACACTGCATGAGCACTTCACAAACCCTCCACAGAGAACCTCCAAAATGAAGGAGGACCCCTGTGCACGTCATGTCTTTGTAACACCGAGACATTTGTGTGAATGCTGCATTCTGTTCCACAATATTTCTGTGCTTATATTTTGGCATACACATAATGTTCTCTCCACACCCATGAGTGCAGTAAAATTAAAGCATCCCAAACATTTGCCTCCTGTATCTTGTGGTTTGAGCCCCTCCCCACTGCAGGCCCCACAGGCTGGTTGCAGCACACGTTGAGGAATAGGGCGCTGCAGTTTTATAGGCTTCCCCCTTTCCATAATCGTTTCTGTCAGGCCCATCTCTG